CCATGGCCGGGCCGGGGCCGCCACCGGGGCCGCCACCGGGGCCGCGCCGGGTCCGCCGCCGGTCGGGTCCGGGCAGCAACCGCAGCCGCGCCGGCGGGTTCCGCGGCGGGAGGGGCCGGGGGAGCGCGCCCCCTGGCGGCCGCCGGCGGGAGCGCTGCGGGGCTCGGGGACCCCCGGGGGTCGCGGTGTCCCCGGAGCGGGCGGGACCCGCCGCGGAGGGGAACGGCGGCCGTGGGATGGGAGGGAGGCGCCCGCCGACGTGGTCTCACGGCGTGGACTAGCGATCCCCTGACCGGCTCCGTGCCCCGGGATCGTTAGTCCACGCCGTGAGATCCACGCGGGACTCGCCGCATGGAGAAAGGATGGAGGGTCCAGCGTGGCCGTGCGGCGCTGAGCCCCGGCCTGGGGGCTCCTGGCCCCGCAGCTGGCCCCCAGCGCACCCTGCAGCCCGGGTAGGCGTGGGGCTGAGAGCCCCTGCCCTGCCTGGCCCCCCCGCGCGTGAATTATTTATGACTTGTCACAGCCCATCCCCTCTCCCCCAGCACAGCCGTCTGTCTCCTCTTCCCCGCCGCTTCCCAGCGCGGTGCCGCTGTTGGCAGCTGGGCCCTTAGAGCATCAGGTGGCCTCTCTGTCCTCTTTTCCCCCCAGATCCCCATAAAGGGCACTCAGAGCATGGGGCGGCGAGCTCAGGTTTCCTCTTGTGCAGCTGGTGGCTCATCCGGAGCTCAGCATCCAGGACCTGCCACCCCCAGGGAGTGCAGCCGGCTGTGGTCCCAGCAGCTTGACTCACCCCAGTTTGTGCTGGGCAGGGACCAGTCTTGGGAATGCCCTGGCATGGCACTGCATCCATCTGCTGCCCTGAATGACCCTGCCTGCCTGAAGGGAAACATATTACCCCTCAAAATGTTTTTTGTTGTCCCATTCTTTATGCCTCACCCATCCCGGAGCAAGAGGAGCCGGAGTAATGGGGTGTGGGAGATGCAAGGAAACCCAGCACTGATGGCAAGGACCATCAGACCTTCACAGGGTGAGCTCTGTGGTGGGAGAGGGGCTCCAGGAACCCACCCACAGCTGGTGGGTAACAGGGGACACTGGTCTTCATGTCCTGTGTCCCTGCTCTGGACAAAACCCTGGAATAGCATCTTAGGTTTCAAAATGCAGCCCTGTCTCCAAGCAGTCACCTCTGTCACCCACTCAGCTGCTGCTTCCCCGGTGATGGTGGAGGGACCTCTAGTCTGTCCCAGATCGGTGCTTTGATGGCAGGGAGCCCCAGTGACCTGCCCGAGGCAGTGAGCACAGATTGGCAGAAAGGAGAAGCCCCGTGCTGGGAGCCCTGGCTCCTGTGACAAGGAGCTCCCCGAGGGGTGTGTGGTGACCCCAGTGCTGTGACCCCTCCAGGGTGCCGGGGATGGGAGCGCAGGGGACAGGGATGGAGGGAGCGAGGCAGTGGCTGGCTGGTGGTCACCACACTTCTGTGGGCAAATAATCCCTTAAGGGAGATTACCCAGATCGGAAGATTACTGGCCCTAATCCCATAAGGTCATTTGCTCCAGTAAACTGAGATCTCCTCCGCCTGTGGCAGTGTTGGCTGAAGTACGGCGGCTTCAGGGCAGCGCTGGGAGCTGGTGCACACACGGGCACCACGGGCTGGGAGTGATCCACACTCACATCAATCCTGACATCAATCAGAAAATGCAATGGGATTGGGGTGGATGCCAATGCTGGGAAATGCTCCTTTGTCGGTAGGGGCAGCTGGCTGGAGATCTGCAGGCTGGATCGGGGACCAGCTTCTTCCATCCACCCTCTCAGGGATGGCTCCCATGGAGTCCCAGCAGGACAGGCCAGTGGGGCAAGTTGCAGAGTGGGATGCAGGACATGGGACAGATACATGGGATGCAGGATGCAAGATGTGGGTCTGCTCCTTTCCTGCAGCCTCACCCCCACAGCATCCACCATGAAGCAATTGGCTTCAGCTTCCTGCCGGCTGTGACGGCAGCACTTGATCCCTGTTGGTTTGATGGGATCAAGAGAAGAACTCCTGATTCCCATGACATGTGCTGGGATCCTAACTGGAGGTGGAGCTACATTCACCTCCCAGGGTACACGGTTTCCAGGCAGGTGACAAAAGGCTCCGTGGGCAGTGAAAGCCCATCTGCATGTCCTGCTGCACTCGTACGGACACAGCCTCTCCAGTCTGGGGTTCGGCTGCAGGGCTGGGAGCTGGATGTGGTGCTTGGGGAGTGTAGCCTGGCTGGGTGGTGGCTGTCCCCTTCAGCAGCTGAAGACCTTCTCCCACCACCTCCCCAGCAGCCCTTGTACTGCCCAGGAAAACTGGGATGAGGGAGAGCTTTCTGAGTCTGGGCACGAGGGACGGGATGGGGATGGGAATGGGACGAGGTGGAGGTGGGGATGGGTGTGGGAACAGGCCGACCGTCCTGGCAGAAGCAAAAGGAAGCACAGTGACTCTGGGGTTGCCAATGACAGTGCAATGAAGGCAGGGTTTTTCTGGGAATGCTGAGCTGCAGGGAGGGGTAGGGCCTGCTCTCCCTGGAAAGGTGGGGCACAGGTCAGCACAGGCATGGGGGAAGCTGCAGCTGAAGGATCACAGAGCCATGGACATTTGGAAAACATTCCCAGGGCAGCAAGCAGCAGCTGGTGCTGTGTGCTGCGGCCTCTCCCCAGCCAAGCTCTGAGCCAGCCACCAATCATTATGGATTTCTCCTCCTGGAGCCAGCGCCAGGGGCAGACCTTCTGCTTGGAAGCTGGACTCAGACCGGGATCAGAGGTCCATTTGGACCAGTTCCCCTGGGAACTGGGCAGTCAGAGGGAGTGGTCGCCCGCCCACTGCTGGGGGCTGCTTTGCTTTCCTGTGTGTTTTGTGGAAAGAGCAGGTTTGGTTTCATCATGTTCCTTTTTCTTCCTTGCAGCCCTTTTCTGTATGCAGCCAGAAACCCTCCCTGCCTGCTGGCAGCTGCACAGGAAGCTTCAGGGATGTTTATAGGGTTTTTTTTTTCTCTCTTCTCTTTTCATGTGGCTGCTGGGGCCTGTTGTTAAGATAAATCAGACTTCAAACCACAGTCTCCATGTTTTCAGGCTGTGGATCTTTAACTGCTGTTTCAGAGGGGGTGTTTCAGGTTCAGGGAAGAAAGGTGGGTCTGTCTCTCCCTGTTTGCCAGATCCCCTCTCCCTGGCACTGTGCCACCATCACAGCAACATGGGCTCTGCTCCGTCACCCAGCCAAGACAGAGAGTCCCCAGGGACTGATCCCAAAGAGGTCTGGGGTGGCCAGGCATTGGCAGGGGCTCTGGCCAGCAGAGCCCATCCTTGGAAGGGGCCCTGCCCTGCCTGGTAGCTGATGACAAGCTCCTTTCTTCAGGCTCTGGGATGCTGGGAGCATCCCCTCCCCCAGGCAGGCATTTGTAGAGGGGATCTGTCAGGAGCATCTCAAGGTGAGGTGTTTCAGTCACATTACCCATGATAATACATGCAGCACGGGGAGAGCCTTGCCGAGGCTGCTCCCTTGTGCTGAGTAACACCTTCACCACACTGGAATGTGCCCCAGGAGCCCGGACTCACCACACCCCTCTTTGTGCTGATCCCCCTTGCTGCCCTGCAAGGCACAATTTGGAAGCTGGCTGTGTTTCCCCAAATCAAACATGATTCCCTCGCTGTGTGCCGGGGCGTGCTGACCGTGGGCCAGGCTCCAGCCACACGTGGGGCTCCTCTGCAGGCAGATAAACGGGGCTGAACCTTGGGGGCTGAGCCTCAGCGAGCCAGAGCCCGTCCCCATGGGCTGGGGGCTGGAGCTGCCTTCAGGAGCCAGTTGCCTGCATGCAGTCACCCTCCCTGGAGACCCACCACAAAGGAGAGAAAGCCCTTTCCCTCCAGCAGTGCCAGGGATGCCGGCACAGTGCTGCTCCTCGTGCGAGCACATGTCCTAGGGGGGTACAGCCCCTCAGACACGTTGTGTCCAAACCCTGATGGGCAGCAGGGGGGAGAGAGATGGGGCAGAGCCAAGGGGTGGGGCAGCATTGGAGCACTGATGCACCCAAACCCCAGTGCCCCGGGTCCACCCAGACCTTGGCACTCCACCCTCAGGGGTGTCCCCACGGCTGGGGAATAACATGTGTAGCTCTTTCAGGGGTTTGATTTCAGGAACAACAAAAGTCTGCTACCAAACCCCATCTTTAGTCTTTTCAAAGGGGATACACCTTCTTTGAGCAACGTGGTCCAGTGAAAGGTGACCCTGCCCATGGCAGGCAGTTAGAATGAGATGAGCTCTGAGGTCCCTTCCAACCCAAACCATTCCATGATTTTATGCCTCTCCCTCCAAAGGAGGGCTCAGGTCCAGCCCAGCCAGCCCCTGCTGGGACTCCCCTGCCTCAGGCACAACCCTGGCGGTCTGTGACCCTGCCCTAGCCCCGGGGGGAGCAGAGGAACCCACCCCTACACCCACCGAGACCTTGAGAGGATCATCCCACCCTGGCCGGGGCTGGTCCCACGGGCAGGGTCTCGCCTGGGCTGAGCCTCGGTGACCGGGGGAGCCCGGGGCAGTCCAGCAGCTGCCCGGGGAGCTCCGACCCCAGTTGGGCCGGGGAGGGGGTGGTCTGACAGGGCGGCCGCTGCCCCGGGCGGTCCCACCGGCTGCGGGGTGGGGTGCAGGGGGGTCCCCGGCGAGTCCGCGCGGCTCTTCCCGGCGGGGCCCCGGGCGGGTCGGTGCCGCTCTGGGGAGGGGCCGGTCGCCCTTCCCAGCGCGGGGCGGCGCCCACCGGCACCGAGCGCTCCCCCGGGACCCCGCGGCGCCGGCGGGCGGGGCGGCCGCCCCTTCCGGCGGGGGGAGCGGCGGGACCCGCCGCGGGCTCCCGGCGCCGGCCGGGGGGGGAGCCGGTGTCGGCGGCGGGCGCGGGGCGAGGCCGGCGGGGGCGGGCGCTGCCGGGGCGGGCTCCATCCCTCCGGAAGTCTCTCCCGCTCCCTCCTTTCTCCTCCTTTCCCCCGACAACATGGCCGCGAAGTCGGACGGCGGCGGCGGCGGCCCGGCCGTGCTGCTGGAGAGCCCCGAGGGGGACGGCGAGCGGCGGGCGGCGGGCGCGGCGCCCCCGGCGCGGCGGTACCGGCTGCGGGACGGCTGCTGGGTGTTCTGCGCGCTGCTCGTCTGCTTCGCGGACGGCGCCTCGGACCTGTGGCTGGCGGCCCATTACTACGTGCGGGGGCAGCGGTGGTGGTTCGGGCTGACGCTGCTGTTCGTGCTGCTGCCCTCGCTCGTGGTGCAGATGCTCAGCCTCAGGTGGTTCGTCTACGACTTCGCCGCCAGCACCAAGGACAGCGGCGCCGGCACCAAGGACAGCGGCCCCCGCGGCTGCTGCCGCCTCTTCGTCTGGCTGCTGCAGGGCCTGATCCACCTGCTGCAGCTGGGGCAGGTCTGGAGGTACGGGGAGGTGGTGGGGGCAGAGGGGGTGTGGGTGTACAGAGGGGATGGGGGTACCGGGGGGATGGGGGCACCGGGGGGATGGGGATGTTTTTGGGACTGACACACCTGCTGCACCTGGGGCAGCTCTGGAGGTATGGGGGTATCCAGGGGATAGGGGTACAGGAGGCTGAGGTGGGGCTGCTGCAGGGCTGGATTTGCCTGCTACAGCTGGGGCAGGTCTGGAGGTACGAGGGGAGGGGTGACATGGGGGTCACGGAGCCAGGCAGGGGCTGGAGGGAGCAGCAGGGTGCAGCAGGGGTATGGGTGGGGGTAAGAGCATTGAGGCCCCAGGAGGGGATGGCAGGGCATGGGTAAGTGGGTGGGGATAGCAAGGTGCAGCAGAGGCCCAGGCATCTGGGGAGGGCGTGGGGATCAATTCCTCCACAGCCCCAGTAGGATGGGTGGTGGGGGAGAGCCACCAGCCGTGGGCACATGTGGGTGTGGGTAGGAGGTGTGGGTGTGGATGAGGAGCTGCAGCCCAGCTCGATACCACAACCCTGCCATCCCCACTGCTGGGTGATGCTGGGCCTGCTGTGGACCTGCCTGGCCATGGCAGTGGGGTTCTGGGGGTGTGAAGTGCTTCTGCTGGGCCCTGAACACCTCGGGAATCCTGCCCTGATCTCATTGTATCTGTGGGGTGGTGGCTGAGGAGGTGCTGGTGGTCCCCTGCACCTGTCCAGGCTCCTCTGCTGCCCCATCCCGGTCCTGGGGACAGGCCAGTGAACAGGCAGGGCAAGTGGCAGCCAGGCAGGCTGGGGCAGCTCGACACCTCCCTTCAGACCCCCCAGAAGCCTGAGCTGATGCTTTCTTGGCACCTTCCTCTCCTGTGCCATGGAGCCAGCCCTGCACCTTCCCAGCTCTGCTGAGCTCCATCCCCGGGTGCTGGGGAAGAGCCGGGCGCTGGCACCGAGCGGCTCTGGAGGAGCTGGTGCCGTGAGGGCAGACAATGGCAAATTCCCGGAACAATGCCTTGGAGCAGGCAGGGCTCCCAGCTCGGGTTTCCATCCTGTTTCCTCTCCTGAGTGCTGTAGTAGAGGCTCCCTGCTCCCTGTCGGCGTCTGCACGTTCATTCCTTTGCTGCTGCTCCTGGGAGGCTCTGGGTGTGTAACTTTGTTTGACAGTGCAGCGTGTGCCGTGCTCAGGGGCCTCCTGCCCCTTCCCTCCCCAACACACCTGCCTTCCCTGACCCCACATCCCCGGGGCCACTCTGGGGGTACATTGGCTGTACCCCCTGCCTCGGTGTGCGGGGGGAGCTGGTCATGGAGAGGACAGGAGCTCTCTGGCCCTGCCTGCAGTCAGCCTCGGCTCTGACACACCTGATCCCAACCCGAGCTGGAGCGGAGCCGTGGCTGGGGGCTTTGCTCCCAGGGGTGTTAGCCCCGCTCTCGGATCGGCTGCACCACAGAGGCTCCTAAGCCAATTAAAGCGGTAACTCTCAGCACTCACCCTCCAGGACATGTTGGTCTCAAGCTGCAGCTGAGGCTCTTTCTAATCTCAGGATTTGGGATTAGCTCTGGTGACCAGTTAAATGCAGTTCGTTAAACCCATTAGCGAGGTTGGATCCGGTGCAGGTGAATGTGGCAGTTAGAATAGTGTTGGATAAATGCTGAAGGCAAGGCTTTTCCCTGGTCAGACCACTGTACTTCTCGCCAAACCTCTCCCCTTTCCTGATTTGCCTGCCTTCTCCCTCACCTCTGCAGGTCTCGCCTCTACCAACCCCACTGCACAGCCCCGAGTCCCACTTGTAACAAAGACCCCCCCAGTCCCAAAAAATACAACTTCTTCCCAGCTGCAGAGGCAGCTCTGAGCACTGGCTCTGAGGTTATCCCAAAGTTAGTTGTCATCAGCGTGTTCACAGCGCACATGCACATACCCTGTCACGGATGGTCTCCAGAGACAGTGCCGGCAGCATGGCCACGTGCTCGTGTAAGGAGCAGCGGCGTGGGTCTGTCCCCAGCCAGTCCCATGCCACCACCATGCTCGTGGGTTGTGCTTGGATGGTTTGGCAGCTCGGGAATTGTTATCTGCTCACAAAGAGTCACCAGCTTCTTCACCAAAGCAGCTCCTCAGGGGGGATGCTGCGTGTGCCGGTGTGCCTCCCTCCTGACAGCCTGATGGGGTCCCCTGCCACCTCTGTGGGCTGGCAGCTGGCCAGGGTGTCTCTGTGGGTCCCACCGGCTGGGCACAGGCCCAGAGTGCCCTCTCAGTCTGCAGGTCCTTCCCAAAAGCCCCCATCAGCCCATGTCCCCACATCCTCTGCTGGCTTGGGCACCCAGTGCCACCCCTCAGTCCTAGTGGCAGCCCTGGAGGGCAAGGACATCCTGGCTGGGCTCACAGGGGGTGGCAGAGCTGGGATTTGCAGGTTTTCCCCACCACCACCACCACCATGTGTCCCAGGGCTTTGCTCTGCCTGCATGGGTGAGCCCTCCCAGCTTCAGCTTTGGAATGTCAGCTTGTCCTGCTGCAGGACCCAGTTCTGGGAGTCCCCACATGGCCCTGGTGCATAGGGCAAGGGGTTTTTTTGGGCTAGACCAAGCCTTTCCCTGAGCAGGAGTGCCATCAGCTGCTTCCATCCTCCCTGGGTACCCAGGGCACCTTGGGGTGTGGTGCTGGTGGGACACAGACGCTTTGTCAGTGAGGTGATGTGGATGCATGTGCAGCTCTCCCTGATGATCTGACTTGGTGGGATGTGTAAGGGATTAAAATGGCTGTAACAGGGAAGCAATTTTCTCCTTGTTTAAATACAGGATTAAGGGATGAGATCCCAAATTACCTTCCAGGAAAATTGCATTCCCTATTGCTCGCTCTGGGACTGGAGGGTCCCTCATCCTTTTCCATCTGAGGATGGGGATTAGCAGATTTGTTTATAACCGGAGTCGGGTTTTTTTCCTCGTTCTTTTTTTCCCGACACCAGAAAACCGGGATCAGCATCTGGGAGTTGGGGGCAAACGGTGACGCTGGTGACAAACCCAGCTGTGGTGGAGCTCTGGCAAACCCAGCACCCACCCCAAGCCACCACCTTCCCTGCTGCAGGGATTTCATTGGATCACTCTTCGCAATACAAAGGAGGGAGCAATTAGCCCTGAGAGCTCTCACTGTCGGTTTCTGCCTCATCATCAGTTTTTTTGAAAATTAAATGATTTTTTTTTTTTTTCCAAGTGATTGATTCTGTGTTTCCCGTGCAGCTGCCGCGGCGCGGGGCTGGGGAGCGCCCGCCACGCTGGCAGCGCCGGGATCATTCTCTGGGCTGAAACACCACGGGATGATCAAATGCAGAACAAATAAGAATCAACATTTCATTCGGGCGAGTTGATGGGAGATGAAATCTCATTTTAATGAGACCCATGGAGCTGGCAGGGAGACAGGAGGATAATTGTGCCCTCGCTGAAAGCTGGGGAGGCTGCAGGTCACTTGTTGAGCAGTGGAGGAGCCAGGGCTGGCGGCTCTGGAGCCCAAGTGTGGGGGCTGCTCTGCACCGTGGACAGCGAGATTGTGGCTCTGATGAGCCCAGTTATCGAGGCTAATTACAAGGACAGGATGAGGCCACCAGTGCCCAAGCCTGGTTCATGCATGGGTGCCCTGGGACAGCAGTGATGCCCTGCAGCACACCGGGCTCTACATCACTTCTTCTATTGTTGTTCCCTGCTACTCCATGCCTTCCCTCTCTGGACTATCCTCTGGTTTGTTCCCCCACCAGCAAGGTTTGTTCTCCCACCCGTAGTGGCTGTGGTGGTGCAATGGCAGCGCTGGCCTGGCTGGCTGTGAGCAGGTGGCACTTGCATGCAGATCTGTGCTGGGAGCCAGGAGCAGGGTGGCCACAGCCTCTTCCCCCTGAGCAGTGAGGGACAGGCTGCAGCAAAGGCTAAAATTAGGTGCTGCCCTCAAGGTGGAGGTGAAAGTGTCACTTTGAGAAGAGAGAAGCCGGCAGGGGCTGGGAGTGGAGCTGGCCAGGGCAGAGCAGATGGCAGCAGGGTGACACGGGGGCTCGGTGGCCCCAGCTGATGGCCCTCACTGTGTTCTCAGGGCTGTGCAGCCCGGGGGTGGGAGCACTCAGCTGTCCCTGCAGTGGAAGCAGGGCTGGCTCCTGCCTCTTCCTGCTGACAGATGAGCTGAAAGTGCTGGGATCAGGCTTTCTCCCATGCTCTGGGCTGATGGAGTCGGCTGGCAGCACATCCTGGAGCTGATGGGGAAGCCGTCGCTCTGCCAGAGGATTTTACCCATTGGGAGGAATCTATGGTCTGACATCCTCCCTCTGCACCTTTCTGTTTCCCTCCCCACCAGGCTCCCCCCTCCTCGTCAGCAGAGCCCTGGCCGTGGTGCAGGCAGGGCTGCCCGGGGATGCCCTGCCTGGCCGGCCCCCTGTCCCCTCCTGTGGTGCCGGATCTGGCCCAGTGCCATGGGGAGGGTCCCTGGTGGTGGTGACTCAGCCGGGCGTGCGTCGGTGCCACGCACACCTCCGCTGACCCCCGGCCGACCACCAGATGGCCGGGGCCAGTGTGTGGCCGCGCCCGCAGCCCTGCCAAGAGCCGAGGCAGCGCCGCCACGAGCGCCGGGAGCTTCCCGCAGGCACCACGGCACAACCAGCTGGTGCCTCCATCCTGGCCGGGTCGGGGGGGAAGCAGGGCGAGCTCCGCGCCAGCTGGGACCAAAATATCCCTTCTGAGAAGTAGCCGGATGTCGGTGCTGGGCTGGGGCAACCCGAATCTAGGGGTGGGGTTGGGGAGGGAGGGTTCCTGGCTTGGGGGGGATCCAGACCCTGCACGAGGGAGGAAGGGATGGGGTGATGGCTGGGTAGGCACTGCCCCAGGTGGGTAGTGGGATGATGGCCCGGGGCAGAGGAGTGTTGAGCTGGCTTTGTACAAGCTGCCCCTTCCCAAACTGGAGCCCTAGAGCAGGACAGAGACATGCTCAGCATCGCTACTGCCCTGTAGCCCCCCGCACCCCTGGCCTAGGGGGATTTCCAGGGCCCCAAATCAGGGGAACAGCAGTCACAGAACAATCCTGGCACGGGCAGGGCAGGGTGAGCTCCGCTACCTGGGCAGCTGGGGGTTGTCTCACCCTTGCCAACCTCGCGCAGGTACCTCCGCACGCTGTACCTGGGGCTGCAGAGCCGGTGGCAGGCCGAGCACCGCCGCCGCCACTTCTACTGGCGGATGATGTTCGAGAGCGCGGACATCAGCATGCTGAGGCTGCTGGAGGCCTTCCTCAAGAGCGCGCCCCAGCTCGTGCTGCAGCTCAGCATCATGGTGCAGCAGAACAGCATCGAGCCGCTACAGGGTAAGGGACACCCTCCCTGGAGGGGAAGGGGGCAGCGGGAGGGGGGTCCCCGGCCTCCACGGGCTCTCACAGCCGCTCCCCACAGGGCTCTCGGCCTCGGCCTCGCTGGTCTCGCTGGCCTGGATGATCGCGTCCTACCAGAAGGTGCTGCGGGACTCGCGGGAGGACAAGATGCCCATGTCCTACAAGGGCGCCGTGGTGCAGATCCTCTGGCACCTCTTCACCATCGCCGCCCGCGCCATCGCCTTTGCCCTCTTCGCCTCCGTGTTCCAGCTCTACTTCGGCATCTTCATCGTCACCCACTGGTGCATCATGACCTTCTGGATCATCCAGGGCGAGACGGATTTCTGCATGTCCAAGTGGGAGGAGATCATCTACAACATGGTGGTGGGCATCATCTACATCTTCTGCTGGTTCAACGTCAAGGAGGGACGGAGCCGCTACCGCATGTGCATCTACTACATCATCACGCTGTCAGAGAACGCCGCCCTCACCATCCTCTGGTTCCTCTACTACGACCGCGAGACCACCTCCGACTTCGACGCCTTAATCCTCGTCTGCGTGGTCAGCTCCAGCTTCGCCCTCGGCATCTTCTTCATGTTCATCTACTACTGCCTCTTGCACCCCAACGGCCCCATCTTCAGCCACCGCAACGTGGGCTGCATCTTCCGGCAGGCGCCACCTCCGGTGCCGGGGTCCCCCACGGACGCCGTCACCAGCCCCCCGCGCTCGCTGCCGCGGACTACAGGGGGGGAGCGGGAAGGGGCGCCGGGGGAGCGGGACAGCTGCGTGCCCGTCTTCCAGGTGAGACCCTGCGCCCCGCCGGCGCCGGCCGCCCGCGCCCCGCGGACAGAGAGGCCCGTCATCCGCATTGACCTGCCCAGGAAGAAGTACCCGGCCTGGGACGCCCACTTCATCGACCGGCGCCTGCGGAAGACCATCCTGGCGCTGGAGTACGCGTCGCCCACCACCCCGCGCCTGCAGTACCGCACCCCCGGCGCCCCCCAGGAGCTGCTGGAGTACGAGACCACCGTGTAGGGTTGGGGGGGGGCAGGGGGCTGTGACGGGACCCGTGGTGGCACCCCGGCCACCCTGCATCTCCGCAGCCGTTTGCCTTCCGTTGGGTTTGCCGGCTCTGCCGTGTCGCCGCACCGAGCGCCCCGCGGGCGGTGGCCGGGGAGGTCTCTTGGTGCTATCCCCCCTCTTGTGCCGCCCTCCTGCAGCCCAGACCCCCGTCCCGCCTGATGGCGGCTGCCCCTGCACCCCCCAGGGCTCGTCCTTGCCAAAATACCTCACCGGTGCCTGAGCCCCAGGTAGTGGGTGCTGTGGCCCGTGTCAGTGGTGCAGGATGGGGACTAGGGGCACCCTGGGCTGGGGGCACGGTGGGGCACAGGGGGGCATGGTGGGCAGCACATGGGGACAGAGGTGCCTGTGCCACGGCAGAGCCATGGGGCCGGGACGTGGCTGCGCTGGGGTGTGCGTGGGGTTTGTGACCCGCAGGGAGCTGGGACAGGGACAACTAGAGTCTGTCCAGCCCTCCCAATGTCTCACAATTCCCCCACACCCTGCAGCACCAACCCCTGGGGAGCCCCTTCATCTCCATCCTCAGTCCCCCTGGCTCAGAGTTGAGCCATGTCCCCAACCTCGCAGGGTCCCCACTATCCTGTGGGGCACAACCCCTGGCCTGGGGTGGGCACGAACACTGCCCCCCTGGTTCTGAGCTGGCATCCCAGCTGTGGCTGGGATGGCTGCGCCTCATCCTCCCCACCCTTCCCACAGGAACTTCTTCATCTCATCAGGTTTGTTTTCACCTGAATGGTGACGTTTTGTGTGACATTTTCTACCTCCGCTGGGGCCGGGGGTTGCAGGGCCTGGCTGGCACCACTGAGGGGTGCGTGTGGGGCCGCTGGCGTTCCCTGGGTTCCCTAGAGTGGGATTCACCCTCAGCCGTTCTCCCCTCTCAGGTTTGGCATCACTTCCCACCTGGGAGCTTTTCCATTTACTCCCCCATCGGCATCAGCCCCCTCCAGCTCCCCAGTGTAAACCTGAGCTGTGGTCCTCCCTCCCCCTGGCCTCACCTGTGTGCACCCAGCCTCCTCCCTGTCCCCGCCTTGCCTGCTCCTGCCTGCTCCTGCCTCCCCAGAGGAGTGGGGCCACCCTGGGCTCCGGGTTTGAATGTGTCCCTGGTCCTGCCCGGATCCATCAGCCCCCACCGAGGGGCTGTGCTGAATGTACCCTGTGCCCTGTCCTGGGCCGGGACTGTCCCAGTGGGGTGTGTGTGTGTCTGTGTGTCTGTGTGTGTGTGTGTGTGTGTGCAGGGGCTAGCAGGGGTTTGCAGGGGAGGGGAGCTGTTGAACCCCCAGCCGTGTGCTGGCCCAGCCCCTCACCCCCTGCACCCACGGCCCCTGTGCCTTCCCCACACCTCCTGTGCCCCCCGCAACAGCCCCGCAGGGTCCTGGCCTCTGACTGCCCTGAGGCACCGTGCCAAGCCCTGCCTGGGCTGGGGAGCAGAGGCAGCACCGACAGCCCCTCCATGCCATGGGGCACCATGAGAGGCACCAGAGGACAGGAGGGCTGGGATGGGAGAGCTGCACCTGGGAATGGCTGGGATGTGGGGTCCCCAAGGGCTGGCGTGTGTGCCCAGGCCTGTGACATGATGGGTGGGTGGGTGTGTGTGCACTAGTGGTGGCATCACGTTGCTTTTGTTTCCCATTTCTCAGCAGCTGGGGTGACAGCCGGCTGGGCTGGCCATCGATGGGGTCACTGGTGCTAACTGGTGCTAACTGGAAGCCTTGGAAACCCTTTAGGAGGAGAGTGCAGAGCATGGCTGGGGCTGGGCGGCGGGCTGGGCCCCCCGGCACCTGCACCCCTCCTTCACCACCATCACAGGCAGACCCTGATAGTGGGGGCTGTTCATGCTGGGGCAGCCCCAGGCATGGGGTGGCTCTGTGGGGGGGTCTCTTTTCCTCAGGGAAGGTGGGGGGCAGCGGCCAGGGGACCGGGGGCTCATCCCTGAGGGTGTTCAGCAGCATTGCTGCAGCCCCTGTGCAGTGCCCAGGAGGTGACGGCTCCTTGCTGGGTCCCACTCCACCAGAGATGGGGACGAGCCACATGGGGACTGGGAGCCAGTGTGGGGAAGCTCTTCTGGGCTCCCCCTACCCCAGCCCCTCTCCCTGTCCCCTGCAGGACAGAGACACCATTCAGGGTGACCTGCACCCCCCCTGCCCTTCATCCTGGGGTTTGTGTGGGGACCCCAGGGCCGCACCAGTGGGACAGAGGGACACTTTTCTATGCACTCAAGCCACGGTACCCTCAGCCCTGGGCTGCTCTGGACAGGGCATTCTGGCCATACCTGGGGCTCGGGGGAAGCTCCTGGGTCCCGCTGCTGCCCTGGGCCTCAGCCAGGATGCCCCCTTGCTTCCCACCCAGCCTGTGCCACAGGGGCAGCCAAAACCAGCGCCCTGCTGCCCAGGATGGCAGCACCAGCCCACCAGGACCGCAGCAAGTGGGCACATCTGGGGGCCAAGCAGCTACAGGACGGGCGCAGCTCCAGGGCTGCTCCGGCTTCAGGGAGTGAGGGAAGTTTGTTCTGGCAGGGGCTGCCGCGGGGTCTCAGCCACATCCCTGCCCACCTTCCCCCCCCCCCGGGCGCTGGGACCCAGCGGCTGCTGTCATGTACTGTAAATACTCTGTGTGCCACCTTCTTCTCTGGGACCCTCGGCACGGGCGGGGGTGAGCGGGAGGCCGGGGTCCGTCCCGAGACTTTTTTGTATACCACAAACTTTTTGTATATTTTTAATTTTGCTGCAACATGAGATATTAAATTCATTTCAATAAGCCCTGCCTGTGGGATCCCGTCCTTGCTGGCACCTCCGGCTCACGGGTGGGGTCTGAAGCGGGGCAGGATGGTGCCTCTCTGTCATGGGGTGCTCACGGACCCCAGGAGCAGAGCAGAGTGGCTGTGGTGGTGCCGCCTGCTCACCGTCAGTGGCCCTGGTGTGGCAGCCGGGAGGAAAGGGGGGTAGGAGCAGGATGCAGCTTCCCGGGGAGGAAGCTGCTGGACATGGCCAACCTCCTCCCTGCCAGAGCCCCTGATCCCCAGCCGACCCCCAGACCCACAGGGAGCTCAGACTCCTTGGGGAAGCAGAACCAGCCCCAGGCCCAGGGAGGAGGCCTGTGGCAGTGAAGGGCAGGGGCTGCTCTGTAACCGGGTCCCGAGGGCACCTCCACCACCTGCTCTGGTTCCTGTACCTGCTCCAGTCCCATCCCTGCCAACTTCAGCCCCTGTTTCTGCCCAAGTCCCAATCCCATTCCCAGGCTCAGTCCTGACCCGGTCCCAGTGTCAGCCCAGCCCAGGCCGGCCCAGCCCAGCCCAGTCCCAGCACCCCCCAGGAGAGGCAGGAACTCACATCCCAGCCATCCTGGTGGAGTTTCCGACACAGGAAAGCACCGCGGCGCCGAGCGGGGCGGTGGGGGCGGCTGCAGCTCCGCGTCCAGCCATGGACTGCGAGGCCAAGAAGGGAAAGAAGGTGCGTGGGGCTGGGGGCTGGTGACCCGGGGGACTGCCGGGAGGGTGGGAGCGGGCGAGATGCATGGCTTTGAGAGGCCCTGCACCCCTCCCACAGCGAAGCAGGGAGGAGTGGGGTCCCCACAATAATGCAAACCTGGGGTCAGCGAGCAGAGAGGTGCCCAGCCCAGGTGGTCCCCAGGGGCTGGGGGCCACCGACCCTGTGTGTGGGTGCCAGCGTTGGGTGCCCGGTGGTGACCCCTCCCTGTGCCCATTCTCCCGCCAGGGCTTTGTGTCGCCCATCAAGCGGCTGGTGTTCCCGAAGGCTGCGCGGAGGGCAGCGCTCCGCAGCAGCGTCTACCGGCGCCCGCTGCACTCCGTGCCCCTCTATCCCCCCGACTACCTGATCGACCCCCAGATCCTGCTGCACGACTACGTGGAGAAGGAGGTGAAGGTAAGGGGTACCCCAGAGATGCCTGGGGTCACTGCCTGCTTGTGGTGGGGACATGAGGCCACCCCAGGCAAACAGCCAGGGAGGGTGGGCTGGGGGTGCAGGAAGGACCACCCACTGCAAGATCTCCCTGCTCCCGAGGAAGATGTGTCCTGCCCTTGGGGAGGTGGCTGGGGGTAGAGGCAGGGGGAAAGGAGCATACCCAGCCCTCCCCAGGCTGCCCTGGATTTTGTCCCCCCCAGTTTTTAGGCCACCTGACGTGGGTGACATCCTCCCTGAACCCCTCCAGCCGGGATGAGGTGCTGCAGCTGCTGGACACGGCCAGGGTAAGGGGGGTCACCATTCCCTAGGGTGCCCCCAATGCTGCCCAGAGGGTGGGCGCCGGGTGTCTGACTGCCAGGTGCCCCACGTCCCCCCCGCACACTCTGCCCCTGCAGCAGCTGAAGGAGCTGCCGCTGCAGACGACCCCGGAGCAGGACAGCATCCTCAGCCTCTCTGCGCGCTGCCTCCTGCTCACCTGGCGCGACAACGAGGAGCTGATCCTGCGCATCCCCACCCATGAGATCGCTGCTGCCTCTTACCTGCGAGACGACGCCCTGCACCTCCTCATCCTCAAAACTGGTGCGGGGTCACCGGCCAGGGGTCACCAGCTGTGGCCCCGAGTGCCTGGTGTACCCAGGGCATCGGGGGCTGGAGTCTTGGGGGGTGATGGGGTCAGGGTATATCCAGGGCGGCAGCATGGGCTGAGCACAAAATCCAGCGTGTCTCTCTGCTCAGAGGGCGTGTTCACTTCCCGAGGCTGGAGGTGGCACTGCCTGGGACTCCCCTGGAGGCAGGTCCCAGCTGTGCTGCCAGCTCTGTTTGCTTTAACGGCAGGAGCAGAGGGCTGGGGGTGCCCCCCATCCCGTCCCACAAACATACAGGCAGGGGCTCCAGCTCTGTAATCAGCAAACCCTGGCTCAGCTGCTAGCTGGGAGAAGGGTCCCTGGGGAAGGGGGCTGTGCTCCAGCTGAGGAGTGGCCCCTGATCCCCTGCCTGCTGCCCCCACAACCCACTGGGACTCTCACAAGTCCCTCTGCACCTCACTGGGCTGGTGGGACAGTGGTGCCAGAGCAGGGACTGGGGGCCAGGCAGGGTGGGCAGCGCAGCCCCCCTGCCGTGACACATCCTCCCCCCAACCCCCGTCTCTCCCCACTGCCCCAGGCCTGGGAGTGGACCCGGTCCCCGCCGGAGCGCACCCTGAGGCGGCCCCGGCCGGCGTGCCGGAGGCTTTTCCCCCCGAGAAGCGCCCGGGGGGCTCGTGGCCGGAGGGGGGCCGGCTGGGGGGCGCGATGGAGAGGCGGCACACCATCTGCAGCCTGGACTGGCGGGCGGCGCGGGGCGGGCAGGAGGCCCGGCAGGGCGGCAGCCTGGAGCGGCGGCGGGGCGGCAGCTGGGAGCGGCGGCAGCGCGGGCGGCCCTCGGGCAGCTGGGAGCGAAGGCAGCCGTGCGGCGGCAGCTGGGAGCGGCGGCGGGCCGGCACCGCCGGCGGCAGCTGGGAGCGCGGCACCGGCTTCGGCAGCTGGGAGCGGCGGCACCCCGGCGGCAACCCCCTGGACCCCCAGGAGCCCTGCCCCGACGCCTACTCCAACCTCGTCATCCTCGCCGTGCCCAACAGGGTGAGCGGCCCCGGTGTGTGCCACCCGCCACCCACTGCCTGCTGCCCCATCCAGCGGCACTCACTGCCCTCCTCCTCCTCCCCGCTGCAGGATGCTGGTGAGGAGTCCTGTGCTCTCATCTGCCAGGTGTTCCAGATCATCTACGGGGACCAGAGCATTGAGTGCGTGGACCGTGCCGGGTACCACTACACCTCCACGCCCACACGGCCCTGGCTCTCCAGCAGGAGTGAGTGGCTGGGGACAGGAGTGGGGACACCAAGGGGGATGGCGTGGGGCTGATGGGTGGGGGTTCATGGGCACAGCATGGGGATGATGGGTCAGGGTGCATAGGCACAGCAGGGGGGGGGTTGACCTCACTGTGAGATCTCAGCTCTCCCTGCCCAGGCGAGAGCTGCCGCACAGATGGGACGTACGGCTACGACGCCGACTACAGCTGCTGCAGCTCCTTGTGAGTTTGGCTCCCCCTGGGATGCCCCTGGACTGGAATGGGTGTCCTTGCCCCTGGGTGGGTGCCCTTGCCCTTGGGTGGGTGCCCCTGTTCTGGGTGGCTGCCTGTCCCAGCTACAGTGGTGCCCCAGCCCTGTCCCACAGTGGGTGCTGTGCAGTGGATGGAGGGCAGCCAGGCACCTCAGGGATTCAGGGACCCGCTGATCCCCATCCTCCCACAGCAATGGCTCCCATGAGACCTTCGAGGCGTATTACAGTGGCACCTCCTCGCCCTCCTTCCACCGCTCCCACCACAGCCTGGCCACCGCCTGCAGCGGCAGCGACCAGAGCGGTGCAGGACTGGAGCAGCTGCAGGACTACATGATGACTGTGAGGGCACAGGGATGGGCATGGGGATGGACACGGGAATGGGCAGCAGGCCAGCAGTGCCAGCAACTGGGATGAGGGACAGCAGGCAGGTCTGAGCCCCCTGTGCCAGAGAAGAGGTGGGGGGACAGGGCTGTGTGCTGCCAGCATCCCCAGCCCCAACCTGTCCCCATGTCACTGCAGCTGCGCAACAAGCTGTCATCGCAGGAGATCCAGCAGTTTGCCCTCCTGCTCCGTGAGTACCGGCTGGGCACGCCGGTGCGGGAGTACTGCGCCGAGCTCCTGCGCCTCTACGGGGACCGCAGGAAGTTCCTCCTGCTGGGTGAGTGCCTGCAGCCACGCTGTGTCACCCCGATGATGTCTGTGCAGCCCTCGGGGTGGGATGCTGGTGCCGGGTGTGCTCCAGAGGGTGTCAGGACCCTGGTGCTTGTGGGGGGGCAGGATGGGATGAGCCCCCTGCCAGCAGCCTGTGGGGGACCCCCTGACAGGGGCAGCCTCCTGAGGCTCATGGTGCCCATGACAGGAATGAGGCCCTTCATCCCTGACCAAGACATCGGATACTTTGAGACCTTCCTAGAGAGCATCGGGATCCGGGAGGGCGGGATCCTCACCGACAGCTTTGGCCGCATCAAGCGCAGCATGAGCAACACGTCGGCCTCGGCCGTGCGCAGCTATGACAGCTGGTCCCTGCGCTCCGAATCCGAGTCCTTCAACCGCATGATCACAGACATCACCCACGACATCGAGGCGCTGGCACGGGATGAGGAGGAGGAGGAGGAGGAAGAGGACAACTACCTGTGAGCCACTGCTAAAACGCAGCAGTCCCCTCCCTGCTCGCCGATGCGGTGCTGCACCTTCAAGCTGAGGCTTGGAAGGTGCCCAGCTCTGCCCCAGCACCTGGGAGGGGGGTCATTGTCTCCCCATTTGTCACCATGGGAGGGGACAGGGCTCTGCACTGCCCTGCCAGCTCTCAGCAGGGCTTTTGGAACCACAGGGCAGCTGTGGCTGTAGGGGAGCCACTTGTCCTGTAATTTCTGCAGATTTCAATTAAATGTTGGGGCTGGGAGCAGAGCTGGTTCTTCCTCAAGTGAGGGCTGTATCGGGGTGCAGGGGCTGCTGCAGTGGGAGGGTGTGCTGAGGCTGGGGGCTGCTGGGCTGGGGCACCTGTCCACTTCAGCGCCACATAAAGGTCACTCCCAGAGTCGGGGTGCTCCTGGCTGTTCCAGGCTCGCCTCAGCAATATGAGGGGCCAGCGTGTGTGTGCTGGGATGAGAAGGGGCCACAGCTGGCCCACTGCTGTCTGCGAGGCCTGTGCGACACTCGTCCAGCTGCCGGCTGCGGGTGTTTCACAAAAGGAAGTTCCTGCCCCGGGACCGGCTTCCTGCAGCACCGCCCTGCAGCCCCTCCGCCACCGAGGGACAGGGCCGTGCTCCCTGCTGGCTGATGGACCTCAGCTGATGTCCCCTGCCCACTGTACCCCAGCTAATGTCCCGTGGCTGATGGCCCCAAGCCGATGTTCTTCGGTGGGGGACTGTGGGACGGCGCTGTAGCCCCAGACTGGTGTGTGGGCAGCAGATGCTGTGGCTACCACAGCAGATTATTTTTTCTCTTAAAAAATTTACATATGCAAACCCCCCATGAGGTGGGTTGCTCTTACACCCTGGCTGCTTCCTCTGTCACCCCGAGCCCAAGCAGCGCCGTGGTCAGGGGCAGGGCAGAGCTGTGGGTTCCCTTGCTGATGCTGTCCCCATCCCAAATTCAGGGGTGCTCTGGGCGACTCAGAGCGAAGGCTGGAACACTCTGGGGCTGGACAGGGCACCAAGAGGAGTTTTGGCACGGGAATACTGGGGCCAGCTGGGACATCGCAAAGCCCAGGGACACTCCCACCCCTCCGAGCTGGGGTTCACAAACCTTATGCCCCCCACCTCCCATTACCTGCTCCCCATCATGGGATGCTCAGGGGTGTCTTTTCTTCTTCCTGGGGAAGGAGACCCAGGCTGACTCCGTGGTCTGTGCTCCACTCATGCCCCCCACTACCCCCTACGTCCCCGCACCAGGGGAGGAAACATCCCGGAGGCTACTCTGGAGTGCTGGCACCTAAACCTGCACAGGGTCCGGGGGCCAGCGGGTGGAGAGAAGTGCTCTGACACCTGTCGGGGGGATCCCAAGGACAGCAGGGTCACGAGAAGCTGGGATGTCCTTGCGGTGCGTGGGGTGGCGGGGGGGGGGGTCCCCGCTCCCACCACTGAACAGGAGGAATCGGCCGCGTCTGCCCCGTCCGGCAGCACCGGCGGAGTCGGGGCGGGGCCGTTCCGTGAGGGGCGCGGTCTTAGGGGGGAGGTGGGAGCACAGCCCGGCAGAGCGGAGCGGCGGCGGCAGCCCGGGCTCCGGGACCGGCACTGGGAACGGGACGGGGACGTGCCCCGGGACGGCGGCAGAGGTAAGAGCTCGGGGAGCGGAGCCCCGAGGGCGGCGGGACAGGGCGGAGGAGCCCCGCGACCAGCACGGGCAACCCGGTGGGTCCGTCCCTGCGACGGGACGGTCCCGCTCAGAGCGGCGGCCCCTGGGTGATGGGAATGGGATGATGGCAGGGAATCCGGGGGGGCCCGGGTGGGCACGGTGAAGCCCCGACCAGGGGGTCCCTTTTAGTGGCCTTGCGGGGTGTGTCGAGGACCTGCTGCTGCCCTCCCCGACCGAGGGCACGGGGCAGCAAGGGCAAGGGGCTGCGGGCAACCGTTCTCCTGGAGTGGTGGGCGCTCACATCCAACCTGGTCCAGTAATTGGGGAGGCACAGGACGTGGGACATGACTCTCAGGGGTGGGATACACCAGGAATGCCAGCTATGCCACAGGAGCCAGTGGGATTGGCATGGCCACATGGCTGGTGCAGACTAGGTGCCAGCAGGACCCTTGAACCCTCGGAGGTGGTTGTGTTTCATGATGCCCTGACCCTGTGTGGGACAAACATAGCAAGCACTGGCCATGGCACCGTGTGGGACATGGCTGAGTTTAACCCAGGAGCCGTGTGGGTTTGCCAAGATGGATCTGGTACAGTCCAGAGCCTGTGCCCAGTGAGGGGGATGAAATTCATGGCTGCCACCACTGCTCCTGCTCTGCCCTGGGCTTTGGCACACGGGGAAGGATGAGGAATGGGGTGTTGAGGTGACAGTGATGTCCCTGGAGAGTCTTGGAAGTGCAACTGTGCTGTGCACATCGAGGGCTCAGCCCTGAGCTTCCTCCTTCACTGCTGTCACCAACACCTTCTCCTTTCTCTGCACCCAGGTCTCTCCAGTCAAGGGAAGTTCATTTGTGAGGGGTTTCCCACTCTTGCTGCTTCTTGCAGCATTTTTTCCCCCTTGAGTTTCTCGGGGAGCTGGAGCGAGTTGAGCATTTGCCTTCACCCTGGGCTGGCTCTTCGAGGCAGCTCCACCCAGCAGAGAGCAGGGGAGCGTGGTGGGGAGCAGAGAACCGTGGTGATGGGGGGGCCACCGGCACCAGCAGTGCTGTGTGGGGAGCCCTGAGCTGTGTGGGAGACCACCGTGATGAGGGTCCCACTTTTGCAGAAGACACCAAGTGGCTCTCTGCTGCCACGGTGCCCGGTGGCTGCAGCCTGTCCTGGATCAGAGAAGGGCCGGGAAGCTGCTCCATGGCAGCTGCTGTTGTCTGCCCAAAATTGGCCTGCTGTGACAGAACGGGGCTGGAGCGGGGCTTTCACCTCTGTCGCAATGGCCTCACTTCCCCTCCCTCGGCTGCAGCATGGGCTGTGTGAGGTCGAAGGCAGCTGCTGTCCAAGAGAAGACGACAAAAACTGATCCTGACCCTGATCCCAGTCCCAGCATCCAGCAGGGCCACTATGTGAGGGACCCCACGGCCGTCAACAGGAGGGTGAGTGGGAGCTGTTGAGTGAGCCAGGGATTCAGGGCTGAGCCATCACGGGGGGCTCAACCCCTCTCCTCCACAGAGCTGCCAGCACTGACAGCGGGGCCAGCTGCAGGTACTGGCAGTGCCTGTGCACTGGGACAGGGACTTGGCTGTGGGGTGGGAGCCCAGGACACACTGGAACAAAGCACAGAGTGGACCTGATGGGAATCCAGGAATTATGGAGAAAGGGAGAGAAAAACTAAGGTGTTGGGAAGGGATGGAGATGCTGGTGCTGTGTAGGTTGTTGTGTCAGGTGGCACTGGTGATGCCCCTTGGGTGCCCTCCTGCCCCTGCCACTGCTGTTGGGGGCCAAGACCCCCATAGGAAACAGGTCTCTGCCACCTGCAACATCACTCTCTGGTTTTGTCCCACTTTCCAGAACAATCACGTCCCCAGTGTGGCTGTGCCCCTGCCTGAGGATGGTAGGTACAAGGGGGCTGCAAGTGGATGCAGGAGGTGGGAACATGTGGGGGCAGCATGGCCAGGTCCTCTCCAGCCTGGAGGGAACACTGCTGATCCTGGGGGGATGGGAACTCTGGGCCCCCTCAGAGGCCATATGTGACACGATGAAGATTGGGCGCTGCGGGGGTCCTGGCCAATGTCCATGCCAGTGTCCTGGCCAGTGTTTATGCAGGAGTGGCCAGGCACCCATCCCAGCATGGGGAGGGGTGCCCAGGGAACTCCCTTGCTGCAGGCTCGGGGGACAATGTGGTGCTGGCACTCTACGACTACGAGGCGATGAACGCTGGGGACCTCAGCTTCCAGAAAGGAGAGCGGCTGAAGGTGCTGGAGGAGTAAGTGCTGCTGGCATTCCCCCACCTAGGGTTTCCTGAAGGCTTGCATGGCCATGTCAGGTTTTTTTTTTCTGGACCTTGCCCCTGGAGGAGCTGCTGGTGCCCAGCACCAGGTGCCATGAGCCAACCTGACAATGTTTCTGTTGCAGGTCAGGGGCCTGGTGGCAAGCGCGGTCTCTGGTGACGGGACGTGAAGGCTTCATCCCCAGCAATTATGTTGCCCGAGCTGATTCCCTGGAGACAGAGGAGTGAGTCCATCCCTCTGTGGCAGATCCTGGTCCCATGGGGTGCTACTCTCCCTTGCCTCAACTGTCCCTATTCCGACCCACGTCGTGCCCCCAGCCCTGCCCCACACCAGCAGTATTCCTTGGTTCCTTTGGTTCTGCTGCAGGTGGTTTTTCAAAGGCATCAGCCGGAAGGACGCGGAGAGGCAGCTCCTTGGCCCTGGGAATGCGATCGGGTCCTTCATGATACGGGACAGCGAGACGACCAAAGGTGCAGAGGGGTGTCTGTAGCTCAGTGGTGGGGAACACCTGCCCAGGGAGCCTCCCTCACCCACATTTACCTGGCAGAGGAGCTCGGGAGATCCCTCCCCAGCCCAGGGGCTCTGCTGTGCTGCAGGCAGGGACTGGGGGGCCCGTGTCCCTGCAAGAGCCCACCCTGCTGCCACATGTCTGAGCCCCGTGGCAGGGACAGGGGGATGCACCCCTTTGAGGCTGCTTTGGGTGCTGAGGATGCTTTGGATGTTCGGGGCACATCCATAGCTGGCCTGGGGCTGAAGGGGTGGTGGCAGCACGGCGGGATGGGTGCTGATGGCTCCGTGAGTGCCGGGAGCGTGGGATGTCCGGGCACAGCAGGGATATGTCCCTGTGGGGGCTGCCAGCTCACCCCTCCCCAACCAGGCTCCTACTCGCTGTCGGTGCGGGACGGGGACGGGATGCAGGGCGGTGCAGTGAAGCATTACAAGATCCGGACACTGGACAGCGGGGGCTTCTACATCTCCCCACGCAACAACTTCAACACGCTGCAGGAGCTGGTCCAGCACTACAAGGGTGAGCCCTGGAACTCCCGGCCCCACCATCACAGATGGGGCTTTGTCCCTGAGCCAGGCAGTCACCAGGCAGACAGGGGCGTGCGGATGCTGTGGGGCTCCTGCCTGACACTGCTGGGCTTCTGCTGTGGCTCTGGCTGCGACATGCAGCGATTCCCAGACCTTCCCCTGGTGCTGTGATTTGCTGGCTGTCATAGCTGTGGTGTTGGTGTCCCTGAATGTCCATGGACTCTCCCTTGAAGCACTGTGAGACCAGTTAGACAGGCCAGCTGATGGTTCTGGTTGCTCCCTGCAGGTCAGAGCGACGGGCTGTGCCAGAAGCTCACCCAACCCTGCCACGTGCCCAAACCGCAGAAGCCCTGGGAGAAGGATGCCTGGGAGATCCCTCGGGAGTCACTGAGGCTGGAGAAGAAGCTGGGAGCTGGGCAGTTTGGAGAAGTGTGGATGGGTGAGACTGAGGGGGAGGTAGCTGGGAGGAAGATGAAGGTGATGGTGAAGGAGGAAGGGTGAGGGATGGGAGAGGAGATGGAGGGATGGTGGGATAAAAGAGGCAGAGAGGGAGAGGAGCAGGGGGACACAGAGGTGGCCCTGCCTTAATGCAGAGGCTTCTCAGGGTTGGGTGTGTGGAGACAGCCCTGGGCTGTGCACAGTCTCCAGCCCTCACACAGCAGCTACATCTGCAGGGATGGGGGTTTTGACTCCAAAACCCAGTGCTCCCAGTGCAGCCTGGGAATGGTCTGTTGTGTCACCCCCCCAGCCACCTACAACAAGCACACCAAGGTAGCGGTGAAGACGATGAAGCCGGGCAGCATGTCCGTGGACGCCTTCCTGGAGGAGGCGAACCTGATGAAGACGCTGCAGCACGACAAGCTGGTGAAGCTGCACGCGGTGGTGACCAAGGAGGAGCCCATCTACATCATCACCGAGTTCATGGAGAAAGGTGCCACCCTCACCCCTGAGCGGTGCCTGTGGGCCAGGCCAAATGGCAGCAGCTGGGTGCCCTGGGATGGTGCAGGAACAATCCTGCACCCCTGGGCTCTGCACCAGCTCCTGCCACTGTGTGCCTGAGTGCTCCAGGGAAGGGTGCTGGGTGGGGGGATGTGGTGACAGCGCTGGGAGAGGAGGGACCCCTGACAGGGGATGGATGAGGAGGAACACTCAGCAAGGCAGGAAGGAACCTGCAGCAGTGCTTGCACCTTGGCCCAATCCATGGGAGCAGGGTGGGGGATCAAATGTGTTTCCTGAGTCCCCTTGTCCTGCTTGGCTCCCTGTGCCACCCTGAGGATGGGTGCAGGCTCCAGCTGAGCCATCAGCCCTGGCACTATTCCCTGTCTGCAGGGAGCTTGCTGGATTTCCTAAAGAGCAATGAGGGGAACAGGCTGCCGCTCCCGAAGCTGATCGACTTCTCTGCCCAGGTGAGAATGGAGAGGACCTTCCCTGGCTCCTGCTCCCCCTTGTGCCCCTGAGAAGGATGAACGCAGGAGGACTCAGTCATAATTGTCTCAGGGATATTTTCAGGATCTGATTTTGAACACAGCAGAATTTGCTGTTATACACCTCGTTCCAGGTGTGCAACCATTTGTACAACCCCCGAGTCCCTGCTGCTTCTCCAGCACCCCCCACTGAGGGCTGAATCCAGGGACCCTCAGAGCTGAGCTCGGTACCTCGATGAAATATTTCTCAGAGGCACCTGATCAACAGGAAAGCCAAGATGGGAGCCCAGACCCCAGGGGTTTAGACCAGGTCACTGGCTGCTGGAGCGGGCTGTGCCGGGGTCTGTGCATCAGCTGTGCACTCCTGCACACCATCTGTTCCCAGCAAGCTGGATCATGCCAACCCCCAGCTTGGCCCACAGCTCTGAGGAGCTGCTGGGAGCAGCACTGGGGAGCAGAGGCTGATGTGCTGCCATGAGCAGGCAGCAGCCTTGCACTGTGCCGGGGCTGAGTCACTGCGGTGGAACCGCAGCTGTGGTCATGGAAATGATCCTTCCGCTCTTGCACTGCCTGTTTACTTCTGTATTTTGCGGGGAGAGCTGTGTGAGAGCTGCACCTCACGCTGGGCTGGCTTGTGCTGATGTGGTGGGAAAGTGTGTGGGGGGGTGTCCTCTCTGGCTGCTCCAGCCCCTTCACCTTCTGGATGCTGGTCACATCCAGGCATGGGGTAACTTGGCACAAATTTGGGAGTTGGTTGTGCACACACCAGGTCACCTCTGCATGATTAGGGCTGACAGCTGCACACACTGAGTGCAGAGACTTCTAAAGATGGAGGTGGAGGGGATTGTCCAGGGCCAGGACAGCCATATTGCTCCCAGGCGAGGCTGACTCTTCACAGACTAGTCTGGGAGACCCCAGGCATCTCCCCACCCTACCCAGGAGAGCCACCCCTGTGGTTTTCTGCCCTGGCCAGGGAAGCTCTTTGATGCAAACCCTTGCTGCAGCAATCACGGTCAGTATGTTGATCCCTTTGTGTAGGGGGGACAGGTGACTCCCTGCTTCCCTCGAGGCGTTGTGGATGTGTTTGGAGATTGGCCTCACACCTTCCCTGAGCAGAGAGTGATATGCTTGTCTCCACATCCGCACGGCTGTGGATTAAGTGGTTACACGTTGCCCTGCAGAGACCCACAGTCACCTGCTCGTGAGCACAGGGGCTCACTGGGTGTCAGTTCTCACGGCCTTTCTCCCACAGCAGCTTGAAGGTGTCATGTTGTGCTGGTCACCCAAACCCCAACCCCTCCTGCAAGGGACTCCCTGCTCGGAGTGCGGTTCCCACGCAGGACCTGGTCCTGCAGAATGGTTTGGGTTGGAAGGGATTTTGGAGCTCATCTCATTCCACCCCCTTGCCATGGGTAGGGCACCTTCCACTAGACCAGGTTGCTCCAAGCCCCATCCAACCTGGACTTGAACACTTCCAGAGATGGGACATCCATCTCCTGCTGTGGCTCAGCCCCCTCTCACCCCTTTCCGAGCGCTGCCCAGAAGCTGTTGACTTCTTCATCGCTGTGTGGGGCGTGTTATTTCAAGCAGCCTCTTTGCATTTCCCTCATTCCCCTGTGGCAGATTGCAGAAGGAATGGCTTTCATTGAGAAGAGGAACTACATCCACAGAGACCTGAGAGCTGCCAACATCCTGGTGTCAGCAGTGCTGGTGTGCAAGATCGCAGACTTCGGGCTGGCCAGGGTCATCGAGGACAGCGAGTACACGGCCCGGGAAGGTGGGGGAGGAGCTGCTGTGGGGGTGAAAGGTTGTGGGGAGCCCTCAGAGCCACTGACCAACGTGGCACCAACCCCGGGAGGGGCGTGCTGGGTATGTGGGCAGGGGAGGGAAGCTCCGCTCATTTGCATTACTTGACTTCCTCCTCTTCTGTTTGTTTCTTGTTCCCCAAATTTCACCACCCATTTCTCGGCACTTGGGTCCGAGTTCATGTTTCCTGTTGTATCTCCTTGTCCAGGTGCCAAGTTTCCCATTAAATGGACTGCACCAGAAGCCATCAACTACGGATCTTTCTCTATAAAATCTGATGTCTGGTCCTTTGGGATCCTCCTGACAGAGATCATTACCTATGGACGCACCCCTTATCCAGGTAAGGAGGTGAAATGCCTCCTCTAATCTGGTTCTAAAAGGCACACTCCACTTTCTGGGTCCCACCCATGCTATCCAAGCTCCTCCAGCACCATGGGAAACCTCTGTAAGTCCTTATCAGTAGGGACCACACTCTATTTTATACTAATTGTTACTTTGGTATCTTTTTTTCAACGGGAAATTACTCTGTAAATGCTGCTACAAATGGGTCATGAAGGATCTGGCGTTGCACAAATGGCTCTTCTAAGGAGCAGCTCTGCCCCCACACTGACCTGTTTCCATTGGAAGCAAATGCTCATTAGAGACTCAGAACATGGAGACATGGAGCCTTTATTTTTTTTTTAATTTATACAAAGTGATTATAAATCCCAGTCCATGCCACAACTAACCCAGCATCTCAGTTGCCCACATTTCCCTGACCCCGAGCAGCAGTTCCCCCTTCCCATCCCCTCTGACCACTCTTTTTCCTTCCTGGTGACACTGCCCACAGGGTGAGCGGGTTTGGGTGTGGGGTTTGTATGCCTCTTAAAGAAATCCACGTTTGTGGCATCCACAATTCCCCCCCACCCCGATTCTCCAGGGATGTCGAACGTGGAGGTGATCCGGGCGCTGGAGCGCGGGTACCGGATGCCGCGCACGGAGAACTGCCCCGAGGAGCTCTACGACATCATGATGAGGTGCTGGAAGAGCAGGCCCGAGGACCGTCCCACCTTTGAGTACACACAGAGCGTTCTGGAGGATTTCTTCACTGCCACAGAGAGCCAGTACCAGCAGCAGCCCTAGCGCAGGACGCTCGGGGCAGACACTGCCGGTGACCACACACACACTCCACTCTTCCCTGTCCCACCCTGCCCTGCTTCCCCCGCCAGCGTGGCCCCGGATTTCCCCAGGATACACTGTGGCTCAGGAAGCAGAGCAGGAGGGAGCTGTGCTCGGGATGGATGGAGAGGAGCGATGTGTGGTTGTACTTTGTGCCTTTCCCAGGAGCCTGAGTGCCCGTGGGACGTGCTGGCTGGACAGTGGTTACAGGAGGAGGGGCAGGGATGGGGTTGGGCCCTTCTTCTGTTACAAAGTAAAAAAACCCAGATTAGAATTTTTTTCAAATTCCCCTGAGATCTTATCCAGGTGCTTTAGCTGCGCTGGCCTCGGTGAAATGCCCTGAAGTGCCTGTGCCCCACCTGGTCCCTTCGTGTCCCAGAGATCCCAGGGCATTCCCGGGGGATGCAGCACTTTGACTTAGTGCAGGATCTGTGGGTCTGGATGTCAATCCCGGGGTTTGGATGTCAAGCATCACAGACAAGTGTCCCGCTCTCTCCCACCTAGGTTTCCTTCCTCAGTATTTTCACAGCACCCTCCCCATGCAGAGCACAGTTTTGGTGAGACTGTGCAGGAGGGTGGGCAGACAGACAGACAGCACTTCCAGGCTGTCCCTGGATGGATCCTCTTCTGCTTGCCCTGGGAGAACCCAAAGCCATGGCCCAAGGAGCCCTCTCCCCCATGGGAAAGCTCCCAGGCAGGATTTGATGTCTGCTGGGGCATTTGCAGTGTCAGCAAGGGCCCGGTGCTCCCTGCACACTCACTCAATGTTGTTGTTTATTTTTAGTATTTAATGACAGGTTATTTAGGGAAAAGAAAGAAGCAATATATTATTTTTAAATAGCCCTGTACCTCTTACAGCAGGGACATCAGGGCCTGTGATTATATTTTCGATACCAAGAGGCAAACGCCGACGCTTCAGCTCTTTTCTATCCGCTTTGCGAGCTTCTTTTCGTAATCAATAAACTATTTATCAACCTCTCCTCTCCTGGCCGTTCCTCCCGCTCCAGAACACACTAGGGGACGAGGATGGGACAAAGCTGGGGGACGTGGATGGGGGAAGTTGGGGTCCGCAGAGCAGACCCTCTCAGGCTCGGAGCACCCCTCGGAGAGAGTCCCAAGCTCGACAGGGTCCGGAGCGCCCCTCGGATCTGCCCCCCTTCTCCGGGACCGGCGGGGACGGACCGGGAGGTTCGGAACGGACCGGCCCCGGCCCCGGCCCCGCCCACATCAAACATGGCCGCGGCGGCGTCGTGCCCGCCACCCCCCCCATCCCATCGCACGCCAAGGCTCCTGCCCTCAGCAAAGATGGCGGCGCAGGGCGCCCCCCGTCCCCAACTGGCTCCGAGGAGTCGAAGACCCGCTGGGGACTGAGCGACGACCCCCGCTCCGTCCCTTCTGGCAGGGCGGAGCCGGGCTGAGGCGGGCGCGGCCCCGGCGGAGCGCAGAACACCCTCCCGGCGCGGCCCTGCCCGGGCCGCCGCGGTCGCCATGGCGATCGGCCCCGCGGCCAACCCCGCGCCGCTTCCGGTGACGCGAGCGCCGACACGTGGATGCAAGATGGCGGCGTCGGCGGCGATGGTGAGTGCGGGGGGGCTCGGCCTGGCCCCGCGTCCCGCCCGCGGACCCCTGGCCCGTACCGACACCGGCCCCGCCGCGGGGCGCGGGGAGGGCGCTCCGGGAGGCTCCGGGAGGGTCATGGGTACGGCCGCTGTCCGCGGGAGGCTCCCCGGTGCCGCCTGGGGCCTTGCGGCCGTGCCGCGTCTCCCGGCGGTGTCACCGGCGCAGGGCAGAGCTCGGGCCGCCGCTCGGGGCCGGCGGGCCCGGAGGAGCGGGGCGGGTCCCTGCCCCGCCGGCGCCGCGCTCCCGCGGCGGCAAATTTGGCACCGTGTCGCGGGTCTGGGCAGGAGGGGCCCGGCCGGGGCGTTGTGGGTTGTAGGGAGCACCGGCGCTTCTTTCCCTTTCCCATTCCCATTCCCTTCCCCTCACTGTGCCGCTCTCTGGAAGGAAGGCGTCGCCCTGGACCCGTTGCTGGTGCCAAGCAAAGCGGCTGTTGCGCTGTGTGTGATTTTCACAGGTGTTCAGTGGTGATTGTCGGGCCGGGGCGTGAGCAACCGCTTCGCCTTCCCCTCCTCTCAGCATCCCTCTTATTATTATTGAATTATTCCCTGAATCCTCGGAGAGCTGCAGGTGTTCCTGATGGGACTTTGATAAGGTAGCTGAGCATCAGTGCCACCTCAGGGAGGAGAAAATGAGCTGCTGGGACATTACTTACCTGCCTTGGAGTCTTGTGGTAGTAAAACAGATTTCCTTGTGGCTTTTGCAGAAGGATATTTCCATGAGTGTGGATAAAGGATGTGTGCTGATACAAAGGTCGCTGCTGCCCGGGGCTGGGGTGACTCATGGAGAGAGTGCCATTTAGCACTGTGAGTGTCCTGTTGATGTGCCTGAGGGCAGAATGAAGGTTGCACGTGTAAGAGACCTTTGGTAGATTTTTCTTTTCCTCCCACAAAGCAGTGGGGCCGTGCCTTTCCTCCCGTGCTGTCACCACATTCCACGTGTGTGGTGATAACTGCACGTTGTGGGGTCTCACCCTGCTGGGTCAGGCTGGGGCTTTGTGAATAATTCCTCTGTTGAGGCAGCGTGGTTCCTGAACCTTCTGTGCATTCACAGAGAGCGGCAGCGTTGTTTAAGCCTTTCTGAGTGGGATAAATTAAAGAAACTGTGTGCTGGAGTTGTCTGTAAATCCCCAAGTCTGGTGGTAATTATCCAGGAGCGCCTTCTTGGAGAGGGTTTGTGCTTGAACAGGGCGGGAAATACTATTAGAGTTGCTGCAAGGAAGGTTTGAGTTGCTTCTTACGGCCAAGTGCTTTGTTCTAAAGTTGATTACAGGAATGTATTTTCAATATCTTTTGGAGAGATCCCACAGACTTGAGGAAGCTGTGTGGGGTGGGCAGAGCTGTGGGGGGGGTGGGTGAGCTGTGCTGGCAGCTCTGGCAGGGTCCTGCCTGCACCGTGCCAGCTGCTCCCAGAGTGACCTGCTTTGCCTGGGCTCGTGCCATGATTTCCCCAGGGTATGTTCTGCCTGTGGGTGAGAGAAATCAGAGGGTGGCTCCTGTCAGGGGCCTGTGTGCAGACAGAATATAGTGACATTTGAAATAGATTGGGTTTTTTTCCCCCTTTTAAAGACAGGGGTTTGCTTTCCTCCCACAGGATTTTTGGTTGTGACGGATCTTTTCGGTCTGAGCAGTGATTTGGGGGACAGGAGGTGGTCATTTTGCTTCTGCAGTTATTTCTCTTATTTAGATCATATTCTCTTAAGAAAGGGTCTATCTGCATGTCTACATATGGGAAAATAACCAGGCTTAGTCAGTCCAAACTATTTTTGCCCACGTGCAGCTGGGGTTTTCTCAGTCTGGAGTTGTGCCTATTTGTTGTGCTACTTGTTGCTTCGTTATGTGATTTCCTGGCACTTCAGATGCAAGACTGTTTGGTGCATGTGTTTTGAAACACTGGTAAGGGCTGCAAAGGTTTGTGTCCTGCGTGCTAGAAGTTGGAGCCTCACCAGGGCTCCACGACTGAACAAAAGCAGAGCTCCATCCTGGAAGTTCTGACCTTGCCTAGGAGAGAACTCAGTTTCCAGACGTCCCCCAGGTGAGATGATCACCTGGCTAGGCCCATGAGTTACACAGATGTTTTGGGTAGTGTCCTTGTTGCCATGGCTACAGCTGATGCCTTCGTTTGGAGAAGGTGAAGCGCACCTGTCAGTACAAAAGCAAAGATCCTGTTAGGAAAGAGCCCCAGCATCAGCTTCCCTGTGCTCTACCAGCTCAGGAACCTGCACTGGGCATTTCCTTCAAATTTCACTTCCAGAGCTCCCCCACCTGTTCCATAGCAGCATTCCCATGCCTTGCCACCAACTGTTCTTTCCTGGCACGGCTTTCCAGAGTCGCCCTCTTGTCTTTTCTGTTGCCTGGTGCTGCCTGAGTCATCATCATCTGTGTGCAAAGAGCCTGATGCCTGCAAAATTTTTGTAACAAAAATTTCATATTCTATGTGCTCACGTGTCTCCTGAGCACCTGCTGAAGTTCTGTCCTGCTCTTGTCACCTCCAGGCCCTCTGGGGCAAGGGTGGCACCAGAATGGTTTTGGTTTGCAAGTAACAACATAAAAGATCACAGAATCACAGGATGGTTTGGGTTGGAAGGGACCTTAAAGCTCATCTCATTCCACCCCCCTGCCATGGGCAGGGACACCTTCCCCTATCCCAGGTTGCTCCCAGCCCTGTCCAACCTGGCCTTGGACACTCCCAGGGATGGGCCATCCACAGCTTCTCTGGGCAACCTATGCCAGGACCTCACCACCCTTAATGAAGTAATTTATTAAAAATTTCACCCTAATATCTAATCTAAACCTAATCTCTGTCAGTTTGAAGCCATTCCTCCCGGTCCTGCTCTTGTCTAAACAGTCTCTCTCAATCTTTCTTTTAGGCTCCTTCAGGTGCTGAAAGGCCATGTGTATCTGATGATTCAGTACTAACATTTTCTGAAGGTGCCTAGCAATTGCATTTTAAATAGATTTTAGATTTTAACCCCCCACCAATATTTATGGCTTTTTTTTTTTTCATCCTGTTCAGTTCCAGTAATTCTGGATGCTCTGTTGGCCCTTGCTGGGGACAGGGGCAGCAGCGATTTGGTTTGTTACAGCAGCAGCATTAGCTCAAGAGTTGTCCCAAACCAAGCTCTGGGATTTGTGTGGTTTTCCAGTGGTGCTGGTACAACTCCAGCAGGGAGTTTGGGAGGAGGGGATGAAGGTAGTAGTGCTGTGAGATTACACCAGAGCTGATGTCTTAATCCAGGCAAGCTGCTGCTGGCTAATACTCTTTAAAGCTCGATTTTCATTTCACAGCCTTCCTGCCCGTGCCAAAGCTGGGTCACCTGAGGTGATGGGAAGGGCTGAGGAGGCAGCAAGGTGTGATAAATGAAGGGTTTGCTGCTGCTGGCTGGATCTGGGTTCTTCTCTACTAATCCATGGAGTTTTCCAATGCAGGGAGCTAAGATGGGTGGGAGCAGAAAAGTCAGGTGATGGCCTGCTCAGTGCCTCGTGGTGCATCTAAAAACTGCGTTTTTCTTGTGGTTGAGCAGAGCCAGAATTTTCCTAATTGCAGATGAAGAGGCAGAGACACCCAGAGCAGAAAGTGACCTGGTGAGAGGTAGCAGAACAAAGCTACAAATTGCTTTTGTGAATTTAGTTTCTGTTCAATCACCTGACAGTGCAGCCTTTCTAATATCCAGGGTGAACACTTCCAGTGTTGTTGTCCATCTCTGATGTTGTTCCTGCCTTTTCTGTTATATTTTACTGCTTCTTCTCCTTTTTTTCAGGAAAGGCTAAGGTATATGCTGGTCTTGCTGTTGTTGCTGCACGGTACAGACTCATTCTATGTACCTGGGGTGGCTCCTATCAACTTCCACCGCAATGATCCCGTAGAAATAAAGGTAGGATGGACTTGGTGCTGGTAGTCTGTTTGATTTGGAGTACTTCGTCTTTTGTGGTTTTTTTTTTCTTTTTTATATCAGAGCAGCTAAGGGGGGCTGGAAAGTCAAATTTGGGGATCCTGTTGCTAAAATGTTGGGGTCAGATATTTTCTCTGTTTCACAGCATTCGAGTCAGGTGGTTGGGACAACCCTCAGGTGGTCACTGTCCTCATCTTACACTCGGTTCCCAGCATGATTCTTGTTCTTACCCCTGTTATCTTCTACCAAATTCCTTCAACAGTTGCAGCAAAGTCCCTGAGATGTTGCTCCATGTGGGAAAAGAGCCCCTTTTTCACTGTGGCTTTGAATTGAATGTAGTTTCTCCAGCATTATACTGACTCTCAAAGTGCTTACAGAGGTGGGCCTAGTGGTGGAAGGTGAACTATGGAATAAAGTAGTGGTTTGAATCAGAGCTTCCTAATTTTCTCTTCTACCTGGTTTGCTCGTGCTGTGTCTTCAGGACCAGGGAAATCTGTGATAAGCCCTTCCCAAGTGGAGGTGCCTGTCCTTGAGCCTTGCAGATCTTAGAGCCCAGCCTTGCTGGGAGCTGTTTCCACGCAGCATTGGTGCTGAACGACAAGGGCTGCTACACCCACCCAGGAGGAAGCAAAGCCAGGCTTTGCTTCCAGACATCAGCGATTTATTGCCCATTTCATTTATTTTTCTAAAGCTGTGGCCTCTGTCTCAGCAAATCCAGCCCCCTCGGGGCTGCTGAGGTTGGCTGCTCCCACGTGGAGCACAACACGCTTTTCTCTTTGGCCACAGGCTGCCAGACACAGGCTATTTTTAAGCAAATGAGACTTGCCTGTGGCTACAGTAAGCTTCCCAGAAGAAGGGGGTATTGGAATGGCTGTTCTCAAAGGGATTTCAGGAGCCAAGTGCTCCCTCAAGTGCTAAGGCAAGTCGGTGTGTTTGCCAGTGCTCTTCCAATAAAGGAGCTTGGCTGTGTTGCAGAACACTTCTGTTTTTTGGAGCAACTGTGGCCTTGGCTATTGTGGTGTGTCTCTGCACTTCCCTTGTGCCCTGTGATTTGTGGGAACTCTCCAGGAATGTTTGGGGTTTGTCACCAACCCTCTTTCTCCCCAGTCTGATGGCTCTCTGGCTTTCCTCGCAGGATTAAAATTGCTGAACTCTTCATAGCCCTTGAGGCCAGACAGGGCCCAGGAAGTCCAGTGGGACATGAATTTTTCTTTTTTTTTTGAGGAAACCTTGTATGAATTGCGATTCTTGAATCTTTTTTGAGCTCTTAGGACTCCACTGGGACATGAATTCATAAAACCACCAATGTTTCTCTGTGAATGAATTTCTACAAAATTGTAATGTAGGGAATGTACAGCTGGGAATGGTGCAAAAGGGAAGCAAGCCAGGGGTCTCTCAGGAACATCTTATTTTAAATATCAGTAGTAGTGTCTTCCAAAAGTGAGCTTTATGGTCTTGAAGTTCAATTGTTGGCTTCTGGCTGATGCTGAGGGGCCAGGAAATGATCTTGAGTCCTTTCCTGGGGATGATCCTTCCATTCTTCCTGCAGGCTGTGAAGCTGACCAGCTCCCGGACCCAGCTGCCCTACGAGTACTACTCACTGCCCTTCTGCCAGCCCAGCAAGATAACCTACAAGGCCGAGAACCTCGGTGTGTACCTGTCAGACAGCACAGTCCACAGCGTGGGGGGGTTGTTTACAGGGCTAATAGCAATTGGAAGTGTCACCTCTGCTGAGCTGTGAGGGGAATGTGGTTCCTCTGATTCGCTGTGTGCTGGCTGTTTGCAAACAGGGGTTTGCCTTTCCTGAAGGAGGGCATGTAACCTGCTTCATAAATGGTGATTGATACTTCCAATAAAATATCTAAACTGTCCTTCAGTGTGATCTTTGGTAGCAAAGGAGAATTGCTGTGGTCCCTCCAGACGGCAGGAAGCCTGGCTGTCTCCAACACTGCCCCTGTTTTCCTGTTTTCCAGGTGAGGTTCTTCGTGGGGACCGAATTGTAAATACGCCTTTCCAGGTTTCCATGAACGTGGAGAAGAAATGTGAGGTTCTGTGTAACTTTCCCAACAAGCCAGTCGTTCTGACGGTGGAGCAGAGCAAGCTGATCGCCGAGCGCATCAGGGAGGATTACTACGTCCACCTGTGAGTCACCTCTGGCGTGGGTTTGTGTCAGAGGGGATTTGGTGCTGTGGACAAATTTGATCTGAAATCTGTGTTTTCAGCATTGCTGATAACCTCCCTGTGGCAACACGGCTGGAGTTTTATTCCAATCGTGAGGAAGAGGAGAAGAAGAAGGAGAAGGATGTGCAGTTCGAGCATGGATATAGGCTGGGGTTTATGGACGGTAACAAGGTAGAGCATTGAGGTGCTGTCTGAGCGTGCCTGGAGGAGATCTGGGTGTCTGTCAGAGGGTGTTAGAGGTCTGCCAGAGAGTATCAGAATTGGGAATGTGACCAAAAGGTTTTATAAAGAGTGGAAATATGAGAGGAGGGGTCTCTCGTGGGAAGCAGGGGATGGGTGCTGGACTCTTGGTATGATAACCAGGAGTCCTTCCTTTTTCTCACCATGTAACTTTGGACATGCTCATGCAGTGGCTTCCCCTCAGCAGAGCAAAGGCACTGTGCCCCCAAGGCTGGCTGATCTCTGATGTTGGAGTGTCTTTAGTTTTCCTCACTGGAGCTGTTTTCTGCAGCTGTTGCTTCTCATCTCTGCCTGTTCCCGCCCTGGGGTGCTGACGCTTTATTTCATGTCGCTCTTTCAGTTCTACCTGCACAACCACCTCTCCTTCATCCTTTACTACCACAGAGAGGATGTGGAAGAGAGCCAGGAGCACACCTACAGGGTGGTGCGCTTTGAGGTGATTCCCCAAAGCATTAAACTGGAAGGTAAGAGACTCTTGGGGAGGGGAGCAAGGGGGAAGAGCCTCCTGTAGGAACAAGAGGTGGATGCCATTGATGTATCAGGGTGCCAGTTGTTGCTTCACAGGGCACAGAAATGAAGGAGTCCGAATTGTGAGAATAAACCCCTTTGTTTTTGAGGAAGTACCAACAATAGAGAGCTATCCTTGAAATGCAATCCATGGAAAAATCGTTTCCTGTAAAAAGATCTGAGTTTGAGGTTTTTGGGGTTGCATTTTTTTGCACTGTATCCTCTGGCATGAGGCATGCCTGGCATGTAGCTCTTGTGGTGGTGCTGATCTCCCTGACTGAGACACTGTGTGCTTGTCCAGGGACACACAAGATGGTTGGAACTGGTCCAGGGGGATTGAATTTTAAAAATAATGGTTAGGGGAAAATACTTCTACATCAGAGAAGGGTCTCAAAGGGTAGTTGCTTATGGTGTGTATCACCCCGTGCAGCTCTCCTCTGGCAGAGCAGGCTCTGCTGCAGAGGTCTTTTTTTCTCATCATGTCATGTGGAATAGAGGATTTGTTCATGGTCTAGATCCTTGGCTTCAGAACCTCTGAAGGCTTTTATCCTTCCAGTTAAGGAGAGCCCTGTGCATAGCTTTCCTGAAAGTTTGTTAATCGTGCTCCACTGCTGGTCAGGAGAATAGTTTTGCAAACTGCAGAGCAGGTGAGCAAGCAGCGAGTGCTTCCCCACAGTACCTGGAATCACTGCAGCCCAGTGCCCTGAGGGTGATGCTCCGTGGGAGAGGTGGTGCCCGAGGGAAGGGCTGACTGTGTGTGCCGTGTTTTCCCTTACAGACTTGAAGGCTGATGAGAAGAGCATGTGTACCCTGCCCGAAGCCACGGGTTCTGCCCCTCAGGAGATAGATCCCACTAAAGAGAACCAGCTGCTCTTCACCTACTCTGTGCACTGGGAGGTAAGGCAGTGCTGCAGAGCTGGCTGGCAGTGATGCTCCAGGTGTGTGTCACAGGTGTTGGGGAAGCCGTTGGGAATGTGCTGATGTGAGAAGAACTGCTCCTGTTCTTTCAGGAAAGTGACATCAAGTGGGCTTCCCGCTGGGACACGTACCTGACCATGAGTGACGTGCAGATCCACTGGTTTTCCATCATCAACTCAGTTGTGGTCGTGTTTTTCCTTTCAGGTGAGTGAGTGGATGTGTGGGGTGGGGAGGGCTTTACCGGTATCTGCAGGGAATTTGCTTTGAGCCTCAGCTACAGGTGGCTCGAGGAGGATGAGGCCATGTCTGAACCTGGGCAGACAGG